GATGTTATGTACAAGCTCACGCCGATTACATATCAGGGTTTATCAAAAGAATGGACGCAAAAATATCAACAGTACGATATAACTGCATGAGATCATATGCCAAAAACTACATTTAAAGACAATTATGTCATACACCAGGTTTCATGGACTTTACTTTTTTTTTCTTCAATTTCTCTTTTAATTTTGTGTAAATCAAAAACATACATTGTTTTAAAAATTTTAAAAATCAGTACCGACAATACAATGCATTAGCCCTCTTTCCATTTGTAATTGTAAGTTTATTTGCCGTTTTAGGGAGTACCACATAGGAACTTCGTGGGTTTTCCCTCTTTGAGCAATTCAAATTTTTGCGGCTATTAATATATGTAGGGCCAGGTATTTTTGTAGTTTATTTAGATTAGGTCAATGTAAATGCCAAAGGTAAGTTTGCTGTGCCCTTCTAATTCCCTAATCTCCAAGTTTTCCAAAGTTGAAGCAACCAAATCACAGTATTTATCGAACAATGGACAAGTCCACCAGATATGAGCATAAGAACCTGTTTCTCTCTTACATCTCCAGCAAAAATTAGAACACTTTTCATACATCTTATTTAGTTTCTCTGGCACTAAGTGCCATCTGTACATCATTTTATACTGTATTTCTAAGAGATTCAAACAGAGTATTTTTTTTATATATATATATGGCATAGTACTAAACCACTCATTTATATCTCTCTCATGTCCGAGCTCTTTCTCCCATCTAATCAAGGCTTTAGATTTTACCAAATAATTGTCAGGTATTTCCAGTAGGTTGTTTTTAATAAATTTTCCTGATCGTTATTTCTCCTAGTAATTTGACTTTTTTTTTTCCATATCAATAGAATTCCTTCTTTCTTTCATTAGTAAGCCTCTCACTTTTAAATAGGTGAAAATGTCGCTATTCTGGAGGGAGAACGCTAACATGAGTTGGGGGAAGTCTTTAATTTTTCCATCTTTCCATAATTGGAATAATACCTAAATCTGGAATAATATCCAAAAAAGGCTATCGGGGATAACAAAACATTGCATACCGAACCTTTTTTTCCCGTTCTCACCAAAAACCTAAAACACTATACATTAAATAATTTTTTTAACCATTTGCTTCATTTTTATTTGAACCTGAAGTTAATAGAAGACCCAGGTTTTTCCCACCTGAAATCAAAGCGTCACTTGTATACCATGTTTCTGGTGTCTCTTCTACTCTAAGCCATTTAAATAGGTGCCACAACATTGCTGCATCTTGGTATTTATGTCTAGGAATAAACATATTTTACTATGGATTTTTGGACCTCTTTTAGATAGGGTCGTAGTAAGGATAGAGAAACTAATCTAAACAGGTATGTTCATTTTGGAAGATGATAACTCTTCACTATGTAAAATCTCCCCCACCAGGACACCTCCATGTTTGTAACATTGTAGAGGTTTGGGATAATCTAGTTTAAAAAAAAAAAAAAAAAAGGAATTCTAAAAGTTTATCTGTATCTGTTGTAACTTTTATACCAAGATAAGTGGTTTCTTTTTGAATTCATGGAAAAAAACTATAATTAGATTTTAGACAGTGCGTTTCTTCAACTGTCATATTAAATAACACGGCACAATTTAAATTGGTTATCAGCATTGGGGTATGCGTAGGTTTAATTGCCCTGTCTGGCTGTTACTCTGTTTGATCTGGTTTATTAATCCGTTACCCCACGGGTGCTTGGTGACTCCCAGTTGTCTTACTATATTTTGCGTCCTTATGTGTGTGCCTGTGAGAATGTGCATCTAGGCTTTGGCTATCAAATCTCGCTGTTAGAGCGGACCCGTGTGGTGTGTGTTTATTCGGGCCCACCGGTTCCCACTTGTGCCAAGGAGGTCTGTTAGTTTAAATTGGTAATCGCGCCACATGGCGTGGGCTGTGCTCATGTGTTTCTTCCTACCAAATTGGGAGGCGAACATAGTTTTGTATGACCAGTTGAGTGCCACTTACTTCAGGAGACTCTCACGAGTAGGTACTTCCGGCCTTTTCCATAGTCTAGCTATTACCAAGGCAGCTGAGATTAAGATCTGGTACGTGGCCGCCCACTTGGCTTTGGGTAGCTTCTCAGCTGGCATGAAGAGAATACATAGTTCCAGGGTTAGTGATACCCTTGTATTCACTACGCCTGTCAGGGTGTCCCCTACATTTTGCCAGAAAGGTCTGAGGGACTCTCATGTCCACCATATGAGAGTCATTGTGCCCATCTGGTTCCCACATCTCCAGCATTTATCTGTGGACTGGGGCCAGATATGGTGTTTCCTGGCCGGTATTAAATACCAGCGGTATAACAGCTTGCGCTGTAGTTCCAAGTGAGTAGCGCAAGAGGTTACCCCTCTATGGGATGAGTATGCTTTTTCCCATCTTTCATCAGGTATAGTTCTGTCTAATTTGAGATGCCAAGAGTGTATGTGTGTGTCTTTCTTCATGTCTGCGGTCTGCAGGAGCAGTTGATTTCCTAGTGATATTTTCTTGAGTGCATTTTTGTGTGTTCACATCCGTTCAAAGACTGACATAGGTTCTGTCAGTTTGGTGTTGGATAAGTAGGATTTTATCTGCATATATGGAAATAACACAGAAGGTTTTTTTCTGCTCGTAGATCTAGGAAGGATTTGATGCTACTGTCTTTGTATAATTGTGCCACTTCCTGTATGCCACTGTTTTTCCATGGTCTTTTGGAATCAAGTGTGCCAAGGAGTCCATTAAGGGGTCCAGTGGTACCAGGTGGTAATTGACCAGGTGCTTTCTGGAGAGATCCCAGTTGTATAGGGTAAAGGTCGTTGTGGGCAAGAGGTGACTCGTGTCAGGTCGATGTACTTCGTGTGTCCAGAATAATGCGTGTGACGTCAGTGGCTTTGTCCAGTGGGTCTCTATGTCTAGCCATTGTGGTGATTCAGGCCGTGGTTTGAGTTGTGGTACAGTGGCAAGGGCCGCTGTTCTTTGGTAGGATGCTATAGCTGGTAACCCTAATCCTCCCTGCACCTGCCCTCTCTGTATGACTTTTGTTGCGAATTATTGTGGCATGGGGATCTGTAGCATTCGGAATAAATATTGTAGTTTGGGTAGGAAGGACATTTTTATGGCTGATATACAACCTACCCAGGAAAGTGTGGCGTAGTTAGTTTTGAATAGCTTGGTCGGATTTTTGGTCATCTTTATACCTAGGTTTTTGGGTATGTTAACCCCCATTGCTTGTCTTTTGGTGACGTTGAGTTTATAATATGAAAGTTGCCCATTAGGGTTAGGAAAACATAATCCGAGAAAAGGCTCAATTTGTATTCCCTCTGTCCCAGCTATGCTCCGTGAATGGATGGTTCTGCACACACTTTGGCTGCCAGCGGTTCTAGTGCCAAGACGTAGAGAAGTGGGGAAAGGGGACAGCCTTGGCGGGAACCGTTAGCCATCTTGAACCGGTTGGAACAGAATCCCACATTCATTAAACGGGCCAACAGATGACTGTATAAGGCCTGTAACTACATCTTTTCACCCATGAATTGGGTCGGGAACTGAAACCTCTCCAGGACCGCTTTTAAAAACTCCCAGTTTAGACTGTCAAAGGCCTTCTCCGCGTCTAGTGACATGAGAAGACCTTAGACTCCCATCCTCCTGACGCTATGCCACAAGTCCAGGACTTTCCTGGTGTTATACGCTCCCTGTCTCCCTGCCACGAATCCTACCTGATCATCATGTATCAGGTGTGGCAAGATAACGCTTAGGCGCCTGGCATATACCTTTGCATACAGTTTGGCGTTTGTATTAAGTAATGTTATCGGCCTAAAATTGAGGCAATTCGTTGGTGGTTTAACTGGCTTTGGGAGTGTGATGATGTGTGCTAGTAATCGTTCTGGAGGTAGGGTCTTCTCTCGGGTTGCTGAGTTAAACAGGGCCTTCGGGGGGGAGGGGGCGGGTCAGGATTTCCTTGAATTGTCTATAGTATAAATTTGTAAACGCATCTGGGCCTGGTGCTTTGTGGAGTGGTAGGGAGTGTATTGCTTCTTCTACCTCTGTGGTCGTGACTGGGGCCTTGAGGGACGCAATTTGTTCTGTGGTAAGGGTTAGTAATGCTATATCATTGAGGTAATCCATCATGTGGATGTGGTCTTGTTATGCTAGGTTGTATAATTATTCATAGTATTCTGCGAAAGCGTTGATTTCTATGGGTGAAATCACTTTTTCGTTGCTAGAATTGTATGGTTTTCTGGTGTTTTTCTCATTATGTTTTAGTCTTGCTGCCAATGTTTTGCTTGCTCTATTGCCCTGCAATATTGAGGAGCCTTCAGCTTGCGAAGGTTGTAGCCTACGCGTTGTAATGTGCGAGTTGTAATTTTGTTTGTTATGTCCTTAAAATCTTTTTGTAAGGTTTCTTCTGGTTGGTTTTTTGTTTTGTTTTTTTGCGTTGTGAGATCTGCCAATTGTTTGTGCCAGGCCATCCATTGGGCTTGGTTTTCCCTTTTTTGGTGTTATGCTAGTCTTATTAGGAGGCCTCTAATCACTGATTTGTGTGCCTGCCAAGTGCGGTTAATAGAGGTGTCCTCCAATTTGTTAAGTGTGAAGAACTCTCTCATAGCTACTTTGAGTTAGTCATTGAAGGAGGGGGTCAAACAAGAGAGATTCATTTAGCCTCCAGGGACTCATGTTTGTAGTCATATTTATCTTTAAAAGTCATTGTCACGGCTGCATGGTCAGACCTTCTGATTTGGCTTATGGAGCAATGATCTGGTCAAGGAGTTGTCCTTCCACATGAAAGCTGTCTATTCTAGTGTATGTATTGTGGGGGGAGGGGAGGGGAGAAGAGAAATAAATGTAATTCCTTTCTTGTGGATGTAATACTCTCCACACATCGTAAAGTCGGTGGTTGTCCAACAGCCTATTGTATATAGTGCATGATTTCTGCAGGCGGCCCTGTGTAGTTCGGTGCATTTGCGTTATGGTGTCACTTTTGGTATAGAGTATGTGGTTGAAGTCACCGCAGAGAATGAGCATTTCCTCCTGGACCGGTGAGAGCAGAGCAAGGACCTCGTGCAAGAAGTTTCTCTGGGTCGTGTTGGGAGTGTATTTAGAATTATTAATTGTGCAGATTACTACGAGGCATCTACCCTCAGAATCTATATGTGATGCATGGTGTTGGAAAGACACCTTGTTGCTGATCAGAACTGACACACCTCTGTTCTTTTGCCCAGATGTGTCGTGATATCGATGTGGGTATAGGGATGGTTTAAGCGTAGGGGGTGTCTTGAAGTGTGTCTCTTGGAGGCAGATTATATCTGGTTGTGTGCGTTTAAGGTCTCGGAAAAGGCAGTGCTGTTTAAATGGGGTGTTCAATCCCCGGACATTATGGCATTGTATTTTCATACTATGGTGGGTATTGTGATTGCCTTTAAAAGCTTGTGCCATTGAGAAAGCTCCTGCACCTTGCGCGTGTTCCCCTGTTCTACCCATATGGAAGAGGAAGTAATACTCCTGGCGTGTCTGGTGTGTGTACTGGGGGTCAGTGAAGGACGGCCTCTCCGTCAAATGGCTAAGGAAGAGGTTAAGGAAGTTTTTTGTGTTTTTGCCAATGATATATGGCAGATTGCTTCCACACTGTCATTCTCTGAAGTTCTGCCTGTGCATAACACTCAGAACGACAGGCGGATGCGTATTAGGGACTTTAATTTGTGGCTTGGTGAATGGTGTCAGGAGCAAGGATTTGGCTTTATTTATCATGGTAGCTCTGTTTGGAATGGAGATAAGCTGTACAAAAAAGATGGTTTGCATCCTTCTCAAAAGGGAACAAATGTTCTCAGTGAGCAGTTCATAGGTTTTGCTAGGATGTATTTAAACTAGGAGGGGGGGGCAAAAGGGTGATAAAACATCAATCCAATTGTCCCCCAAAACAAGGACAGAAGGTGCCTGTAGCAAGTGTGTTAAAAATGATAAGCTTAGAGTCATGTCTACAAATGCTCGCAGTTTAGGGAATAAGATCCATGAACTTGTGGCAATAATGGCAACTGATAGTGTAGATTTAGTCGCTGTTACTGAGACATGGTACAATGAGAAAAATGACTGGGACATAGCAATACCAGGGTACTCTTTATATAGGAAAGATAGGGAAGGCAAGAAAGGGGGAGGGGTGGCCTTGTATGTGAAGGATAGCATAAAATCTAGCCTAATAAAAGTTAGTGAGGCAAACATAGAGTCCGTTTGGGCTACGTTAGAATTTGGTAATCACACAGTAACTCGTGTAGGTGTGATTTATAGGCCCCCAGGACAAATTGAAGAGTTAGATAATCTACTAGTTGAGGAAATAGCTAAAATGACAATGAAGGGGGAAGTTATCATCATGGGTGACTTTAACCCCTTAAGGACACATGACGGAAATATTCCGTCATGATTCCCTTTTATTCCAGAAGTTGTGTCCGTAACCCCTTAGTGACCAGGCAATTTTTCAATTGTATTACCGTTAAGGACCAGGGCTCTTTTTCTGCAGTGGCTGTGTTTAGATGTATTTGCCTCATATATTTACTGTGCCCACACATATTGTATACCGTTTACCTCACTATTAAATGTTCATTCTAAAGATACCATTATTTTCATCATATCATATGATTTACTAGAATAAAAAAAAGTGAAATATGATGAGACATAAAACACAGCTGGCCATCATGCCCCCATGTCCCAGTTGGAACATTTCTGAAGCCAGCCAATGTAATTCACCTCCGTCAAACCGTATGTTTTGGAAAAGTACACAGCCTAGGGCATTTCACATGGTGGCATTTCAAAACTTTACATGCACTTATTCTACCACCAGTCTCTGTCAAACGTTTTTGTGATGTCCTTTTTCACTCACACATTCATGTTCACTTTTTCACCCACACATTCTACTTTGAGCATAAATTCTAACCTCCTGTTAGGTGTTCCTGCCAAAGGACACCCCAATATGTGCTCGGCAACATCTCCCGGGTACAGCGATACCACGCATGCATATGTTTGTCGGGTTCACTGGGGGATGCAAAGCAAAATGTCTGATATGCGTTTTTCAAATTGTACATATCTTCTTTGCCGATCTACCTTATGGGGGACTTATCAGATATCCCAATGTATTTTCTTGACATGAGCGTGCATGTATTTGAAAAGTTGACACCCTGAAGTAGTTGAAGAACGCTTGTGGAGGTAACTGTTCAATCCTCATTTTCACACACACACACACACACACTGCTTTTTGACTGTGATTTAGGAGAGCCCGCTGTTGGTTATTGCAAGAACACACCCCAGGGGGTTTTCTGCAAGGCTTCTCCTTAGGACACCCATGCCCCCCACGCATAGGCTCGCCAGGATTTTGGGAAGGTATGGTTACAATTGTATGACTTTTCAGTTTGAGTTGAAATTGAGAGTAGTTCTTCTGATAGGCCTATCTTTAGCTTGGGGCTTATCACAGAGCCCAGTTTTATAGATCGTCACGAAAGGATACACACTTTGAAACGTAGACACCCCAAGGTATTGCATGTGGAGTGCTTTGATGCAACCTTTTTTTCTTTTTTTATAGCCAGACCAAAAATAAATAAATAAAATAAAACAGTTGAAGAACGCGTGTGGAGGTAACTGTTCAATCCTCATTTTCACACACACACACAAACACAATGCTTTTTGACTGTGATTTAGGAGAGCCCGCTGTTGGTTATTGCAAGAACACACCCCAGGGGGTTTTCTGCAAGGCTTCTCCTTAGGACACCCATGCCCCCCATGCACGGGGTAAATGTAAGAACCCCCCCCTAAAAAAAACAAAAAACCTCTGAACGGCAAATGTTAAAAAATAAATTAAAAATGGACCAGCGTGTGGTAGCGTTTGAAGCAGTCGCCAATGCAGAGTCCAGGCTGTCCAGGGCAATCAGGACAGTAATATACACTGTCTTTTCTCTGCCCCCTCTTAGAACAGACCCTGCATCTTTTTTGGGGATTCTGCTTTGCCGCAGTAGGGGGGATTTTAAAAATAAAATGTGTAGCCCCAACTCTGCTCTCTCCCATCACCGCCCGGGGAGCAGGTGCATCACGGTACAAAATCCCCGAAATGATCTGGAGCTGAAACTGTAAAAATCTCAGTTGCGTCCCGGGGTTTGCTTTTTTGAACAACAAGAAAGCGTTGTGGGTTGCAATCTGCATCAGGTAGATTGCAACCTTTTTGTACCAGGCCCTTGTCTTTCGTATAATTAGGTAGGGCTGCAGCAGCTGATCTGCCAGATCAACCCCACCCATGTGCCGGTTATAGGCCTTGATGCACACTGGCTTCCTTGTCCTCTCAGCTCTGCCACGTACAGGGACCTCCACAGTCCCCTCAGTGTGGATGCTGGTAAGAAGGTACACATCCTTCTTGTCTCTGTACTTAACTGCCAACAGCTCCTCTTGGTGCAGAGCTGAGGTCTCCCTCCTTCGTAGCCGGGTGCGTGCAAGTTGTCCTGGGAAACCTGTGCTGTTCTTTTTAATTGTGCCGCAAGCTACTGTATCAAAACAGTACAGTAGCTTGAACAAAGGACACTTGTATAAAAATTGTCAGTATACAAGTGGTACCCTTTGTTCATGAGGGGGAAAATCAGGTCCCAGACAATCTTGCCACTGGTTCCCATATGTTCTGGGCAACCTGGAGGGTCAAGGTGGCTATCCTTTCCCTCGTACACCCGGAAGGCCTGAATATACCCATTCTCGCTATCACAGAGCTTATACATCTTTACACCATACCTAGAGCGCTTGGAAGGAACATACTGCTTGAATCCCAGCCTTCCCTTATACTTCATCAGGGATTCATCCACGCATATATTCCTTCCAGGTGTATAAGCCTCTGCAAACCTGGCAGCGAAGTGGGTAATCAGGGGGCGGATTTTATACAGCCTGTCAAATTGGGGATGCTCCCTAGAGGGACACAGGCTGTTGTCGTTGAAGTGCATGAAATGCAGAATCATTTCATACCTCTTCCTCGACATACATTGGGAGTAAATGGGGGTAGAGCAGATGGGGCTACTGCTCCAGTAGGAGCAGATGGAGGGCTTCTTTATGATGCCCATCAGCATAGTCAATGCCCAGAATCTTTTAAATTCTGGCACATCGATGGGGGCCCATTGCTGCTTTGCCAAAAAAGAGTCAGGATTTGTAGCTCTGAATTGATGGGCATATAAATTAGTTTGGGCGACAATGTTCCCCAATACATCATCGCCCAGAAACACCTCCATAAACTGCTGAGGGCTAAATCCTGTGACATCCAAATTAATGCCAGGATTTGCAGTAAAGGATGGGATGTCTGGCCTCTGGCGATGAGGCACTACCCACTCCTCAGCAGTTCTGCCAGCTGTAGCAGCACGTCTCCTTCGGGCAGGGGGACTAGCAGGCACAGATACAACATCACTAGATGCATCACTAGCAGCAGACACTGTATCTAGTGATGATGTATCTGAGCACCTGGCTGGGTCAAAATCAGGGTCAGAGTCTGACATAGACGCGTCAGACTCTAGCGCAAGGGTGGCATATGACTGCTCAGCGCTGGTTGACTTCCGTGACCCATGTGACATGATCACAATCGCTTTACTTAGTGACCTGTCACAAAAAAAAAAAAAAATAAACCCTAAAAAAAAAATGAACAGACAGCAAAATAAGTGCTGCTGTGCAAGAGCCTGTGATCTGCAGAGTGATCACAGGCAGGACAGGGGTTAATCGTTCTGAAAAGAGCTTTTGGGTCTCAAAAAAAAAAAAAAATTCACAAAAAATGAACCCCTAAAAAAGAAAAAAAATATGCACAAACAGCAGACAATTACTGCTGTGCAAAAGCCGGTGATTATAGTGATCACTGGCAAGACAGGGGTTAATGGCTCTGAAAAGAGCCTTTGGGTCTCAAGAGTTTACAAATCCCTACCTATAAACACCTAAATCTCTCTAGCTAAACCACAGATCTCTCTCCTTCTCTCACTAAAGCACAAGTGAGGAGAGGGAGGCAGATCCACACTAATCAGAGAAATGGGGAACACACTTGGGATGAAATTGCTAATGGGGCAAGCTGTGATTGGATGACCCCAGCCTGCCCCTTATGATGCGGCATGCTAGGGACACCCCCAGAAGCCCCATGATTCACTGCCTTTAGAAAGGGATGGGGGTTAATTTTGATCATTTTATTTCTTTTCTATTTAATTTTTTAATATATAGTATTATATATGCACTGAGTGCCAGGACCCCTCGAGGCACTCCGCACATGCAGAGCATCACTGCAATACTATCAGAGCTTCCAGAGCTCAAAATAGCTGCAGACGTACCAGGTACGTCCAAGGTCATTATGGAATGTTTTCTGCCAGACGTACCAGATACGTCCATGGTCATGAAGGGGTTAAGGGGTTAATCTTCCTGATGTAAATTGGAAAACAAAATTAGCTACTTGTGCCAGGAGCACACATATTCTAAACTCACTAGTGGGATTGTCTCTAAAACAAGTTGTTGAGGAGCCAACTCGTAAAGAGGCCATACTA